CGTTGTGGTACGTTTATATCTGATACTTGCAAAATTTTTGGGTAAAACGATCTTTTTATTAATAAGTTTGAAATGATTTTTTTCCTTTGGGTTAATGTATATTTATTATTAAAACTGCAGAGAGTACCTAGTTTGTTTTTATTAATATTTATTAATAAATAAATTCCAATTAAAAATAATAATTTGCTTTTTATTAATAAGGCGTGCAGCTAGCGTATTTGTAGGTAAGCTATCCAACTACAATTCAAATTAGAATACTATTTTCTAAATCGTAGTAAAGTATGGCCTGCTGCGGTCGCGCATACCCTACACCATTCTCTACTATGATTCAGAACATCACAAACTGGGAGATGTGCTGAATCGTAGTATGGATTGTATTGTACTTAGTGGCGTTTAATTTTGTCAATCCTTACTGCGATTCAGAACACTATGGCTCTGTATCGTAGTACACAATGCCAATACGCGACCGGGCCAGTCACTTTTTCAAATAGTTTCTGAAATATCTGTGTTTTCTAAATTTGAATGCAAGGAAAGTGACGAGTATACCAGGGTACTTATTAAATACATAATTTATTGGAAAATATAAGATTTATTGCAACTTTGAGCATATTATACATTAAATATCTTAAAATCAAATACCACACATCAGTAGTGGCTGGTGGATTTTGGGTATACCGATATCTTAATTATTAGATATGGGACCCACACCAAATTTATATGAGTTTATAAAGACATTAAATAAACAAGTTCTGCGCAAGCAGAATTTAAATTGAAGTTTGCGAAAAAAAGATAACCGAAACATCGAACATGGAACTGACGACACGGTATACTGATGAATGGGATACAAATTTGATATTATAATTCGGAATTAAGTATTTTACTGATATTTTTTATTAGTGGATGCTACTTATCAACAAATCACATATAGCATTATATAAATTACAATGAAATATATATACGTAAGAAAATAACTACTCACCACAGTACTGAAATTTTGACTTGAACTATACGTGCATTCACCACAACTTCGTCGCTTGCATTGTTTGCAAGATGACTGTCGTGCAAAGGGCGGGCTCTGTAGGTAATTTTTTACCAACACTTGAGTTAAAACGAGGACTTGACGTTTAAACTTCAATATTTAGCAGGAATTTTGAATTTTAACATTGGACACAGAACTGACGGGTAAAAGTGAGTACAAAGATTATCAATTTTTAAAAAATTGCTGTTATTCGAATCTATGATAAAATATGAAGAATACATTATTTAATAATTTATAGTTTGTAGTAAAATTGAAAAATTTAAGATAAATTGAATAAATTTTAAAATAAAATCACTCAAATATTTGATTCAGGAGTTGTGACACGTGAAGGTACTGATGTTTTGAATATTTATAATGTTTTTCTACAAACGTGCTTTTGAAAAAATACATTAAAATTGGGTGGGCAAGTTAAAAAATCTGGATCTTTTGTAATATACTAAAATATTAAATATTTTAATATTTACAAAAAATATTAAAATACCTACTCTATTGACTGATGACATCAAGTTGTATAACTTTTGTAGAATCGCCCATATATTTTTTTTGTACTTTAACATTTAATAATTATTATTTTAATAATATGATATGTGGGCGTATGTAGTTTAAAAAGCAAATACCACGTTAAACAGTACATAATTTGATTATAAAGAAATTTAAGTATATTTACTCACTATTCATGCTTGAGTAAATTAAAAAAGGTTAACAAGTTTAAACTGTCAACGCCTGTATGCTCTAATTATGACCAACACAGTTTTAAAATATCTTTGTTTATGTAGAAAAATAGGCCAAATTATAAATAACCGATTTTTTCAGTCACAATAAATTTCTTGATTGACACTAAAATCATTTTTATGTGTATGTGTGCACACACAATACAAGCGTCCGAAATATTCTTTTATTACGTAAATTCAGTTGGTACGACTGAATAGGCGTTTGTAATGTAAAAACCATTTAAACCCATCTGTTGAAAACACATTAAACGATTTGAACACTTGTGTTTCCCAATACTTCATTATGCGTTTTACTCGCGGAAACAAAAATAGTATTGGCACATTGGGAGAGTTTGAATTTTTTGCCTTTATTATTTATTTATTTGTTTATTGTTCAGAAGGGTGTCTTAAAATTTTTTCCAAGTTTTTTTTTACTTGGGTTTTATCTAAATTATTACAGTCTACAGTCTTTTTTTCAAGTTTTTTTTTTACTTGGGTTTTATCTAAATTATTACAGTCTAAAAACAATTTCGAAGAAAGACATCATCCATATATGGGTGATTCTACAAAAGTTGGACAACTTGATGTCATCAGTCAATAGAGTAGGTATTTTAATATTTTTTGTAAATATTTTAGTATATTACAAAAGATCCAGGTTTTTTTAACTTGTCTACCCAATTTTATTTTAAAATTTATTCAATTTAACTTAAATTTTTCAATTTCACTACAAACTATAAAAAATTAAATAATTTATTTTTCATATTTTGTCATAGATTCGAATAATGGCAATTTTTAAAAAATTCATAATCTTTGTACTCACTTTTACCCGTCAGTTCTGTGTCCAATGTTAAAATTTAAAATTCCTGCGAAATATTGAAGTTTAAACGTCAAGTCCTCGTTTTAACTCAAGTGTTGGTAAAAAATTACCTACAGAGCCTGCCCTTTGCACGACAGTCATCTTGAAAACAATGCAAGCGGCCAAGTTGTGCTGAATGCACGTATAATTCCCGTCAAAATTTCAGTACTGTGGTGAGTAGTTATTTTCTTTCGTAGGTATATATATTTCATTGTAATTTATATAAGGCTATATGTGATTTGTTGATAAGTAGCATCCACTAAAATACTTATTATTATTATAAAATATTATCCGAATTATAATCTCAAATTTGTATCCCATTCATCAGTGCCGTGTCGTCAGTTCCATGTTCGATGTTTCGGTTATCTTGCTTGCGCAGAACTTGTTTATTTAATGTCATTATAAACTCATAAATTTGGTGTGGGTTTCATATCTAATAATTGAGATATCGGTATGCCCAAAATCCACCAGACGCCACTAATGTGTGGTATTATTTGATTTTAAGATATTTAATGTATAATATGCTCAAAGTTGCAATAAATCTTATATTTTCCAATAAATTATGTATTTAATTAGTACCCTGGTATACTCGTCACTTCCCGTGCATTCAAATTTAGAAAACACAGATATTTCAGAAACTGTTTGAAAAAGTGACTGGCCCGGTCTGGAACAGTATATTTATTATATTATATATGTTCTCATAACAAAATACTGTTTAATTTTTTCCGAAAACTATATAAACAAAATGAGGTCAAAAGTTGCCCAACTTTTGTAGAATCACCCATATATTTAATTCCTACACATTGAGTAGCTCTTCTTTTACAGTTGTAAGTAATGACCATTATTGATTTCATCAGATTTCACAAAGATTCTTGATGAGTAGTTTTTACTGTCCGAAATTTTCACGATTACCAAATTTTCTTTATTTTCTATATCATCAATCATTATCTTTGAGAGCTCCAGCCAACCCAAAAATAGTGGCAACTTTTATTAAAAGGTAAGTTTCATCTGGTGCTTCTTTAAGTAACTAACTAAATTTGATTTTGTCTAATCAACATAGGTACCTACTTACGTACATTTTAAATGCAAATGCGTGCGGAAAAGTGCATCTTTGCGCACGCAATTGGGTGCGGATGAGTGTTACTTTGCGCACGCTAGTAGAAAAAACGTATTTTTTCTGTCAATTTTGTTTCTTCTGACCGGTTGATCTTTAAAGTGTCCCATCGTGCATAGTGCATCATAGATAAAAGTAAAAATAGACGTACAAACTGGGAAAAACGCGGAAACATCGCCAGAGGCCGCTTATCACTGACAGAACAGGAAAATAAATTAAGTCTAGAGTAGAGAATTTGGCAGTAAACTCGAAAAAACAACATCAATTACACTTAGTGGGTATAAGAAAGCTGCTGTTCTAAAAGTCACAGGAAGTTTTAACAGCACTTTTGTATTGTTTCTGTACGTGGTGTTTGTCTTCAATGCAGGAAACAGTCTTTCTTCGGAATTTATAGTACTTTAATGTAGATTTTGTTATGTTATAAATTGTACCAAAATACCTAGTTGTTCTTTACTTTATTTTTTTTTAAATAGCATAAAATTGCTCCTATGTTCTTAACAAGAATTCTTGTACCTATTTAAACCATTAAACTTATTATAAAATCCATATTTATTCATTATGAATGGTAATTAGGTAGGTACCTACTTACTGCATTACCAAGTACTGGTCAAATTTATTACCCAATTAAAAAATCTAGTGGCATTTTTATAAATAAACCTGACATAAAGCATTTTTATTGCACATAACTGAAAAAACAAAACACTTTTCCCAAACCCAAACAAAAAAATAAATCTGTCTTTAAGATTTCCAATAAAACCACTTAATTTTTATGTCGGTGAATCGCGTGTAAATTTTCGTTTTTAACATGAAAAAAACGTTGATTTATAAATAAAATCCTTCTTATTGCCCACGAAAATATCCGATATCCTTTTTAGGAAACATGCAAATATCACATCCTACATATAACGAGTAAATAAAACAATAATAATATTCAGGTGCAGCGTTAAAAAAATAATATCGACCTGTGTACTTTTTAAATGTCAAATTTTATTAAAATGAGTAAAAAAGAAACCAATTTGAATTAAAAATTCAACACCCTGAGTTTGGCAACAAAACTATTTCGGAAAAAAATCATAGCTTCCCTCACGACATATTAGGTATTTCAACACGTGTTACTTTTAACACCAACACCCTGTATATACCACATAGTAAAATAAATTGACGATATGCGGTTTAAAATAGTTAAAATAGTGCTTTATTTATAGAATACGCACTCTAGACAATACCAAACATTTGCACATAAATATTTTCTCATTCTCATAATAAATAAAAAATACTCACATCCCAAATATTAGCATACCTAGGTATTATAATAGCATGTAATCCAAATTAGCACTTATTTCACTTTTTATAACACAATTCTTGCAGAAACTTCGTGTTAACTTCTAGACAAACATAGAAAAAGTCTTGTTGCACCCGAATCCGCGCTATTTTGGACTGATTTAACACAAAATTGTTGATTTTTTAAGGGTTTTCTTTCGTAGTCACGACCCGCAGACGATGGTTCACAAAATGCTATAAAGAAAACAAATCGACTTGCAGCATTGAAATTTTCAACACCGCGTCGGCAGCGACCTCTGTGATTAATTCGATAATATTAACTGTGGCGCCATCTATGAGTGGGAGGAGTAAGCGCCAGATGGTATTGCTAGAGATTATCTCTGGTACTGCAGTTATTTGTATGAAAATGTTGAGTTTCTGTTTGGTTTATATTATGGTTGATTTATTTTTACAAAGATGGAGGTGAACATTGCTTTTAAAACTTTGAATAAAATATAAATTTATTCAAAGTTTTAAGAGGTTTGTCGTTATTTGAGTTAAATTTAAATTTAACATTAAATGTATTAACTATAAGTATCCTCTATAGTTTACATTATTTTTTATAAAATAATATAATAGGTAGAGTCTCAGACATAATGATTTTAACTGTAAAACCGTTATATGGACTTAAAATATTAACTACCTACATGGAAATAAAATTTATTGTCTGTCATCCAGGGGCGTGCTGGCAGTCCGATGCAGGCCTGGACTGGATAGTAGATCAGTCCAGACTCAAGCCAGTTTCATATACTTCCTATTGCTAGTAAAAAATGTAATACCTATAATTATTAATATTATTACGATGACACCTCGGCTGATAAAACGTCCCGAGATAACTCTCTTCGCAACAAGGAACTTTTTTCAGGTAGTTTATCAACTATTATGTCACTGTCTAAGTCATTTAGCACTTTTTTTCCACAGCCATAAGCATGAAAGCTTCCAAATTTGCGTCACTAAGTGTACTTCTTAAACGATTTTTTATAAATTTTAATGACATTAATTATTTTAATATTATAATTATAACCGAACACTAAAGGCACATACCCGATTTGAAACGCGGTTATAGATTTGTTTTTTTATATATTATACCCACAATCTTTACAAAAAAAAGTCAATCTCTTTAGAATGCGAAGTTCGCATTGCGAACAAAAATCACCTGCTTTGCGCACCACGTGAGCAATCTTTGATTTAGGTATTTGCCGCGTTAATTTAAATTCCCCGAAATAGGTAGTAGTTCTCATATGGTTTTTTTTTGGTTTATGATAAGTTCTGTATAATAAATGCAGGCATGTAAGAAATAAAAATAGTCGTTTTAAGTTCTAAAGTAAACGCAAATGTTTTTAAATATAAGATTTAACAGTTTTAAAGCAAACGCATATGTTTTTAAACAATATTTGCATCTGTCAATGAAATTATGAATAAAATTTGCTATAAATTGTAATAAAGCCAGATTGTCAAATTCAATGTTCTTTAATGTATAATTTCGTTGTTCGTAGTATACAATAATAATTAATGATTAATAATTATTATGCCCAAGCTTTGTTAAAATTTGTCATTGTAAAAGGGAAGAGAAGCAGTCCAGCAGGCCACCAAGTGGTGCAGGCCACCGGGCATTCGCCCGGTGTCCCGGCGGCCCAGCACGCCCCTGCTGTCATCTATTGTGTACATACCTATGATGAAGTAAAAATTCCCAGGGGTGCGTTCATGAAGCTTGACTCGAGTAAACTCGTGTAAACTCATAGTGCTAGATTTATTTTATGCCGTCATGAACGACTCTGAGTAAAAACAACTTAACCTTATTTTCTGACATTTTAAATTTGATTTATGCATAAATCACATGTAAACTTAAATTATATTTTATTATATTTAATACCTATGGATAGAGTTAAAAAACTTTCAGCGTTCACTTTAATTGTCTCTTTTGTGGTATCTTTATCATCTATAATAGATTTTTCTGATTGCAGCCATTGAAGTTGTTTAACTAAAATGTTTATGTTATTACTTATAAAATAAAAATAATTATGGGAAATACATACGCATATTATCTTGAACCAGTAACAATCCGTCTTCGTTATAGATGATATTACCCTCAGGGTCAGTCACAGTGGTATAATTATCCATTATTTAATTAATTTAGCAACCATATAACAAATAGCAACGATTTCTATATAAACACAAACACAAATAATCTCAATTCAAATTCAAATTTGACAATAACATACTACAATGCGCATGCGGAGTTATTTTAACGCACCTACAAGAGGTGGGTTAAAAACGTAAACTCGGTGTTAAATATCCTGGTAGTCACGAACGATTTAGTCAAGTTAAAGCCTAGACCTGGTCTAGGAGTTAAAGTGTAGATACCGCTGTTGTAATGAACGTTTTGAGTTAACTCCGAGTGAATCGAGTAAACGTCATGAACGCACCCCTGGAATATGAAGTTAAACGATTTTTGATTTTGATTTTTTGATGGTTTTCTTTCCAAATCCGTAAAAAAATGTATATGGGCGAATCTCACGAAATGTCCCGTGATATTTAATAAAACCAATGGGTTTGTTCCAGATATTTAACCGCAATTAATTATTTTTTACAATGTTTTAAAAGTCTAAAACCTATCCTCCGTGACTGTTACTCTTTCTAGCTTAACCTATATGTTTTCAAATACCATTTATGTAGGTGTTACAAAAATTGATTCTATCCTCCGTGAATCTGTTTTTACTTTAAATTTTATGCAACGAATGGTGCTTTAATCATTTTAAATAAGCAAAAACCTCTGTTTACCACATTATAGATGCATGTGATTCCTGAAGGTCAGTTAGAATTTATAGGCAGATGAGAGTGTTGCTGTTTTATAATCAAAAGTTTAAGTTCATTAATTTGCTATTTAAAAATCTATCTACCGTGAAGTGTAATATCTCAGTAAGAAGATTTTTTAGAAATATTTTATGTATGTACAATTGTATTTTTTAAAAATATTAAGGTGTCAAAAGATACAATAACTTATTTCAAATATACAAAGGGATGATTAAAAAAAACATACGAAATCCTAACCTCCGTGAAGCTATCTTCCGTGAAGCTCTAATATTCAAAATATTTGATTTCTTAAAATTCTTGCATTAGTGCAGAACCACTTATGTTATGTTATTACTAGACCTGGTGGCTTCCCAAAAACCCCATTCTAGACTAACAGTAAAACAACCAAAAATAAAAAATAATCATTTTTACATCTGAATATATTCACCCATATCAAATTTAGTGGAAACAATTATTTTAACTTTATGATACATTTTGGACTATTTGTCGATATTTTTAGATTTTCTCGATGCACTTATAAGTGCCTATAGGCACTGAAAAACATAATTAAGAGGACGTAGTTGGGTTGGATCGAAAATTAATTAATTAAGACTCCACATGCCAGACGAAAATTATCGGCTATCTAATTTAGCTGCATAAACATTATTCACTCCGCCTGAACTGTTTGTTTTCGAAATAACTGGCGTGAACATGCTTGCACCAAAAAAGTATGTATTTTTAAGTTGACGCGCAGTGTTCCCAACCAGTGCTGCCAGATTGGGCGCTTTAGCGCCAATTGGGCGGTTTTAAGAAATAATTTGCGCCTAGTTTTTTATAAAAAGCGCAAACCGCAATTTGGGCGATTTCTGAAAAAATAAATTGCTCTTTTAGAAATTCTTCGAATTAACCTTTACTTAAAATATATCTTCAGATTGCAGCTGCCTGTATATAATACTTATAGATATTAACAGCGATCACCACAAATAATAATCATATATGGCATTAAAGTAGTGTAAACACATATACTTATTGGGTAAAAAAATGTTATTTTATAATTAGAGGTGAGTGCGGTCAAAGTTTGAATTAAAGTAAAAGAAATTGAAATTGAAATATGAGTTCTGATTGGACAGCTAACTTTTTTCCCCTTTCCGTTACTGGGCTGTTGTGGGCTTGACAGTAATAATATTTGTAATAAATATAGCCTTCCAGCATTCAGAATAATAATGAATAGGAACAGTTTCTATTCCTTATTATTTTGAATGCTAGTAGGCCATATTTAAATTTATTTATTTTTAAAAATAACGAATATTTATTTTTTTATTTATTTATAATTATATTAAACATTTGTTTTTGTATATTTCATAAATAATAATAAAATTGTTTACTATCAAGAAAAATGTCTTTATCTATAAAAATATTAAAATGGTGTGACAATAACGTCCCAATAAAGGGTTAAGTATTTTTAATGCATTTTGCGAATTAACCGTTACAAGAATTTAATTTTAATTTTACCAATCTAACGTTGGCGCTGATTGCAATTTTGTTGGCGCTTTTGGGCGATATCTCACTCGAAAATTGGTGCTTCGACTTTAAAATATCTGGCAACACTGTTCCCAACTGTAAAAACTAAAAATCTTTCTGCTCATTTTCTGAGCTGTCTAATGTGCTTGCAAGTTGTTGAAGTGCCTTGATATTTCTATTAAGCTAACCCATTCAAATATGTACTTCTTGCAGACTATAGCCTAAAGTTTTTGTCACTAAATCAGAAGAAATATTTTATCAAAGCTCTGTGCGGTGTAAATAAGATTTTAACGGTTGACAAATGGTAAAGATAGGATATAACATTAGTCTGGGGTGTAACATAAATTAAAGGAGGCAGAAGTAATTAAGATTATTTTGAAGCGTGGTATATTTATCAATAAATATTTTAATTTATACACAACTGGATATGGTAAATCATACTTAACGTCAGTACTGTTTACCATTAATTTATGCTTTTTTCTCGATATTTATGGGGTGGTAAAAAATTATCTATAAAAAATCTAGACGTTTTAATTATTTTTTACCACTCCAATAAATTGTAGGGCGTCCAGCATTTTTTTAAATTAACTTGTTTTGATACAAAGCAGCAAATTGACCTGTATTTGAGTTAGTCAATGACTCACTGTTGGAATTGTATGCCCACAAATTAATTTTCTCAATTGAATGAAACCTCTCGTGTATCACATCTAGTGCACAGTGTGGAAAAATAATAATCTAGGTGTAAAAAATAAAAATATGATATAATAGTATATTATTATATGAGAGATAACGCGCATAATCTTGTAATACTATACTTTATCTACTCCAGATAATAAATTTTTTTCAAAAATAATTAAATAAAATCTGACATCTGTCAAATAGTTAACCTTACTTTTTACCAATTTTAAATGTTATTTTAGTCGCCTTCTCCCAATTT